CTGAAGGACTCGTAATATAACAGTAACCACAAAGACTGTAGAGGATTACAGTTGGCAGATACGAGCTCTTCGAAGCCACCCTAAGTGAGGGGGTATCACCCCGGCCCACAGGAGAGGCTGTTTCTGCAGCTGAGTTCGACAAGGCCTCGGGAGATGCCCGGGACAAGGCGGTGGAGTTCTACACTAACTTGGTATTGTTTTGAGCTTCGAACTTTGATGACCTATTGTTTACATGGTAGGTTGCGGATTTTGGCCTACCTACACGTAACGATGATCTCGAGATGAAAATGCGCGACTCGCAAAGGTAGGATTCACCGTCTGCCAACGTGTTGTTAGTTTGAGGTTTTAGGAAAGCGCACGCCTTATGGCTGGAACAAGTTCAGAATTACATCGCTCGGGTTCGATCTGATTTGGTGACGGATATCGAGCAGAAGCTCTCGAACGTAATAGAAGGGAACTGCTGGAGGGCTTCTTATGCGGGTTAGATTATCTAAGCAATGGTGGATGCTTAGGTATCTTTGCCATGTGAGCCTGATACTCTGGAGCAAATTGGGAGAGAGGCGACTAGCTTCGAGGTTCTCAAGTACGACTGGACGGGCCAGTACCATCCCTCGAACGCATTGACAGATATAAAGGAATATTGAAGGAGTATGAACAGCAGCAGCAGCCCCAACTGAAGAAGCTACTGTCAGCCGACTGGGTGGGTTTGCTGGGAGATTCACATGTGGATGGCCTTGGGAGAAATGTTGGCTCAGATGGTAGGCCGTTTGCCTGAGTTCGATGAGGACCCGGTTCAAGAGTTGACGAAGAGTGCTGATGCGCTGTTGGTCCGCTTTAAATACGAGAATGACAGGCAATGCGTGTTCCGCTGGTGGCCTTGCAGGCTCGAACTTTGATCTTGTTCAGAGCGATCTCCAACTTGATCCGAGTGGCTCTGGAGACAAGTATAAACGCGTGTGATGCCGCTGTTGATGAGGCCAACACTAAGCTGGTCGGAGATGCGGTGCTGCAGGATTGGGCCAAGGGTGTCATGGCTGAGACCACCGACTCCTTTACTAAAAGATGCACCAGAGAGTAGGCGGAGCGTAGATATTGTGGCGACGACCTTTTCTGATTAGGTATCCCTGGATTGCCTCCCAGTCTGAGTTCCGTTCGAATAAGGCATTGTTGATACAGGAGGTTAAGGATCGTATTGATACCTGTACATCGAAACATGCAGTCCGACTCGCTGAGCATTTGAGGCAAGAGGTAGTGCCACAGTGGAATACTACGGCCGTATACAGCGCGTGGTTGCTCGCATCCAATTATGGATCGTCGATATTGTATGTGTGCCTGGTGGTGCTTCACTGTCGTACTCATTGGATTGAACTAGTTCTTCCGGCGGTAAAGGAACTCGACCGATCGTTCCTGAGCCTGTATCAGCGGTTGGCTTGTCTTCATCTCTTACAGGTTGAGATGCTGATGGGGGGGTATAGAGCTGAGAAGAGGAAGCTTGAGATGACCGCATTGCCGGCTGATGAGGCTGTTCTTAGACGGGACCACACTGCTATCACTCAGGATGTGTTGGACCGGTTCGACAGCGATGAGGAAGCGTAGGAGCCTCACGACCGGTAGCCCAACAAGGCAGTGTTGGTGTCTCCGCAGGGTCGCCGATTCGGCTGCATATAAGGACTTCCGCTCGCAGCTGGACCATAGTATGGGGGCGGAGTGGGACAGACTACGCAAGAAGAATATCGAGCTGTGGAAGGTCTACTCCGATGATGCTACTGCATGTGCTCTTGAGATGAACCGGAAGTAAGGAGACTCCAAAATTCTATGATGTGCCGACGGTCGCATCAGATACGTGAAGGAGTCCTGTCCCCAAGGGTGGATGTGTTTGTTCAAGCTGTGGCCGAGTTCTCATGCTGGGCGTGTTAAGGCTAATCTGGACGAGTGTTTCGAGACCAAGGTGAGGAGGCATCTTGCGACTCTTCTTCCTCCGCTGCTGGTGGTGGTGGTGGGATGTGCTGTTTTCTTGCAGTCGAGTGTGAAGATGCCGATCTCGATGCGTCAGGCGGTATTTGATAGCTGGTATGAGAAGGAGTTGGGCAAAGAGGCCGCTGAGGTATGTGCTTTGGAGACCGTGATGCGCCTGTTGTTGATCCACCGCGGCAGGCTTGGTCATCGCTCCATCATCAGGTGAGACAGAATCTGATGGTATTCCTCTTCACGCTGACTCTGCCTGTGGTTTGGATAAGTTGGTTGACGACCCGATCCCGAAAAATATTATGATGATGATTGTTAGTTGTAGTAGAATAATGTTGCCAATGAAATGCCGAGGTGTCTACTACTATATTCGCGAGTAACAATATGAATCATTCACTGTGTGCATCTCTCTCACGCGGAGTTTCAGCTAAGTTTTGTGTTGCGTGGAGTCCACTTTGACAGGGAACGTTATGGACTTTAGTTTCATCCTCATTATCTTATTGAATGAGAGGATACAATTGCATTGCACTACTCCCTCTACTAGAGGTGGTAGTACGAGCTGAGAAGCCTGGCAGCACTAGTAGTGTAGTTTCCCAAGAGAATGGTGAAGAAGTATTGTCTGATGACATGTTCGGTGCTCCGTTCAACGTAGATTTCGGGAAAGGCATGGGTTCTGGTATCATTATTCCTATGGGAGGAATCTCTTTCGTACCGATGGGCGAGCTATACGACTCGATCGATGATGTTCATGAGCTTGCTGGTGGAGACAAAGCTGTGGTTGCTCAATCGCAGCAGCAGCAGCCGAAACGGCTCCGCCATGGAATGGTCCCTTTGGCGAACCTGTTTAATGGAGTAATCGGGCAAATGTTGAATCAGATGATGACGGGCTCCTTGGGAGGGATAGAAGGCGAGTCTACCTTCACTATGAACACTACGGCCGGTGAAGTTGTTATTGCTGGTCAGCTTCCGAAGCAGACTTTACGAACTGAGCTCGGTGAAGAAGATAACGGTATCACTGTGAAGCAAGTCGGTAAAGGTATTGTACTGCAAGTGAGGAAGACCAATGGCCCGATGGTGACGGATATGCAAAGATACTATCCGATGTCGGACGACTGCTTGCTGGATAAGACCAAGGTCGTTTATGATCAGAACAGTGGCAAGCTCCGAGTGACTGTTCCTCGGAACCCAGGCATGTCTGCTACTGGTGGTAAAGCGCGGAATTCTGGAACTGATTCAGACGAAATCAAGAGACAACTAGACGAGGAAGCTCAGAAGGATGGTGTGAAGATTCGCTTCGGTGATGACGATACTCTCACCGTTATTGTCCCGATGTCACTTGGCCGAATCGCTAAGTTCAATGGGAGCCGCATAGAGCTGGAGAGTGGTAGGGTTGTGACAATACCTGTTGAGATTGAGACGCTACTGGACGAGTATGAGGCGGATGAAGAAAAGATGAGAGAGTATACATTCAGAAGTTCAGAAGTCTCGAAGAACTTTCCGATCACCAATGATGAACTATGAGGAAGATATTATGCATCATTAAGTTCTGTCTTTCTCGCCGCACTCCGTGAAGCGAGGTGCACTTTTATTATAAAATATGTGATGCCTTCCTGCTTGTTGAGTTCGGTTGGGGGTACGAACGAGTCGTTCGAAACGACAATGAAGTGATAAATGTCGTTCACTGCCCATCGCAACCGGCGAGGCTGTAGTGGTTTGCACGAAGCTAGGCTCAGAGTATGTACGTCGAGTTGGCAATTGTTTGAGTGTGTAGTTAGATGTATTTGAAGACGGCAAGTAAGCTCTGAGATTCATGATTCAGTCAATTGCAGTGTGCCTGTATAATGTGCTAGGTGCCGTGTGCGGGAGAAAAATTCATGTTAGTTGGCAGTGCCAACTCCAATATGAATTTTTACTTGCCAACTTGGCGCGTTCCTGCATTTTCCTCACACGTAACCCCCTGAAGACCAAGACTTCAAACCCAACAGCAACAAAAGTTCATCACCAATCATCACACAGCTGATGTACCAGCTGAACTGACAGAAGTTATCGCGGAGAAGCAAAGAGATTGACTCCATACTAATACCGACTTATAACTGACACGTCCAACCCTGTAGACCCTGGAAGCGCTAGAACTAGTCAAGGCACCAGCACTTACGTCTACAATGGTACAACCACAGGATCAGAATGATGGAAAGCATGACGAGAGGTAATTACATGGGTTCCATATCATACTCGCCTTCCTCCTCATCAAATTCACCTTCTTCCTCAGCGGTGGCATCCTGGTATTGTTGATACTCAGAAACCAAATCGTTCATATTGGATTCGGCCTCGGTGAACTCCATCTCATCCATGCCCTCACCAGTGTACCAGTGGAGGAAAGCCTTCCTTCGGAACATTGCAGTGAATTGTTCAGCCACCCGCTTGAACATCTCCTGGATGGCAGTGGAGTTACCCAAGAAGGTCACAGCCATCTTGAGACCCTTGGGTGGGATATCGCAGACACCACTCTTGATGTTGTTGGGGATCCACTCGACAAAGTAGCTTGAGTTCTTGTTCTGGACATTCAGCATTTGCTCGTCGACCTCTTTAGTCGACATTCGGCCACGGAAGAGAGCGGTTGCGGTCAGATATCGTCCATGTCTAGGATCGGATGCACACATCATGTTCTTAGCATCAAACATCTGCTGAGTCAATTCGGGCACGGTGAGGGCGCGATATTGCTGAGAGCCGCGAGAGGTGAGGGGGGCGAAGCCCGTCATGAAGAAGTGTAATCGGGGGAATGGGATCATGTTGACCGCAAGCTTACGGAGATCGGCATTGAGCTGACCGGGGAATCGCAAGCAAGTAGTGACACCAGACATAGCAGCAGATACCAAATGGTTGAGATCACCGTAAGTAGGCGTTGTGAGTTTCAAAGTCCTGAAGCAAATGTCATAGAGGGCCTCATTGTCGAGTACCATAACCTCATCAGCGTTCTCAACAAGTTGATGTACTGACAAGGTAGCATTGTAAGGCTCCACGACAGTGTCGGACACTTTAGGGGAGGGGAACACGGAGAACGTCTCCATGATCCGATCAGGGTACTCTTCACGAATCTTGGAGATCAAGAGAGTTCCCATACCAGATCCGGTACCACCACCCATAGAATGGCAGATTTGGAAACCCTGCAAACAATCGCATCCTTCAGCCTCCTTACGGACGACATCAAGGACGGAATCAATTAATTCAGCACCCTCCGTGTAGTGACCCTTCGCCCAGTTGTTGCCGGCTCCGCTCTGTCCGAACACGAAGTTATCGGGGCGGAAGAGTTGGCCGAACGGACCAGCGCGAACCGAGTCCATAGTGCCAGGCTCGAGGTCCATCAATACAGCGCGAGGAACATATCGTCCACCGGTGGCTTCGTTGTAGTACACATTAATGCGCTCCAGCTGGAGGTCAGAGTCACCATGATAGGTACCAGTAGGGTCGATACCGTGCTCGTCGGAGATTACTTCCCAGAACTTAGCACCGATTTGGTTACCGCACTGGCCGGCCTGAATGTGAACGAGCTCGCGCATTTAGATTATTAAATGAAGCTGATCAAGATGAGCATTCCTACGAAAAGTAACTGGTTCAACGATGAACAATATTCACAACCCAACAAATAAGAGAATGCGCAAAATCATACCGGATGCTTCCATGATGGAGTTGCTTGTGCAGGAGGTCTCCACATACCGATACAATAGTTGCTTGTTCACATATTAAATGCACTTAAAATTCATCACCATAGCCTTCCTCCTCTCCTTCACCCTCAGCGGTCTCAATGCCAACCTCTTCATAATCCTTCTCTAGAGCAGCAAGATCCTCACGAGCCTCAGAGAACTCACCCTCCTCCATACCCTCGCCAACATACCAGTGGACGAAGGCACGCTTGGCGTACATCAAATCGAATTTGTGGTCAATGCGGGAGAAGACCTCAGCAACGGCGGTGGAGTTGGAGATCATGCACACGGCGCGCATAACCTTAGCGAGGTCACCACCTGGGACGACCGTGGGAGGCTGGTAGTTGATACCACACTTGAAACCAGTAGGGGACCAGTCAACGAACTGGATAGTCCTCTTAGTCTTAATGGTAGCAACTGCGGCGTTAACGTCCTTAGGTACAACGTCACCACGGTACATCATACAGCAGGCCATATACTTGCCATGACGAGGGTCGCACTTGACCATCATGGAAGCGGGCTCGAAGACGGAGTTGGTAATCTCGGCGACAGAGAGCTGTTCATGATAGGCCTTCTCGGCAGAGATGACCGGAGCATATGACGTGAGCATGAAATGGATACGAGGATAGGGCACCAAGTTGGTCTGGAACTCGGTAACATCCACGTTAAGGGCACCGTCGAAACGGAGAGAGGCGGTGAGGGAGCTGATGCACTGAGCAATCAGACGGTTGAGGTTGGTGTAGGTCGGCCTCTCAATATCGAGGTTGCGACGGCAGATATCATAAAGAGCCTCGTTATCCATCTGGCAAGTGACATCAGTGTGCTCGAGAAGAGAATGGACGCACAACACTGTGTTGTAAGGCTCTACCACGGCAGTGGAGACCTGAGGACAGGGCCAGATAGTGAAGGAGAGCTTCGACTTCTTGCCGTAGTCGACACTGAGGCGCTCAAGAATGAGGCAGCCCAAGCCAGAACCGGTACCACCACCACAAGCGTTGAACACGAGGAAGCCCTGCAGACCAGTACAGTTATCAGCAAGCTTGCGGATACGGTCAAGACAGAGATCGACGATCTCCTTACCAATGGTGTAGTGACCACGGGCGAAGTTGTTGGCCGCATCCTCCTTGCCGGAAATGAGTTGCTCAGGATGGAAGAGCTGCCTGTAAGTACCGGTACGAACCTCATCAATAACAGTGGGCTCGAGATCGACAAAGACGCATCGGGGGACATGCTTGCCGGCACCAGTCTCCGAGAAGAAGGTGTTGAAGGCGTCATCACCACCACCGATGGTCTTATCAGAGGGCATCTGTCCATCAGGCTGAATGCCGTGCTCGAGGCAGAAGAGCTCCCAACAGGCATTACCAACCTGAAGACCACCCTGACCGACGTGGATGCAGATAGCTTCACGCATTTTGAAGGATTAAAGGAGGCGCTTGGTTAGCGACAAATGGATTCTGAAGAAAACAGCTTGAAATCCTCGAGCGACCATCTTGAAGTGGACAGAAACTCATCTACCTGATGCACATCACTATCGACCGTCCTGGGAGTACACCACATTCCACACTCACTCTATGATTATCTATCACACTTTTTGCTTATCGTTACCCTGGTAGCGTTTGTCTCACCTAGGCGGGCAATGCAGCGACCGAAACGGTTGCGCATTTAGGGCGAGCGACGGCAATTATGGGCGTAATAATAGATGGCGAGCGAGATTAATGATGAGCTGTTCATATCGCGCGCGCCACTTCCGTGAAAGTTCCATCGGTGTTGACGAGCTACGGTAGACGATATTGCAAGGCGCTGTGGGAGTAACAAGGCTGTGTCCAACAAGGTTTAACCTTGCTGTTATTGCTGCTTGCCCTCTACCTCTGTAGGTCTGATCAATTTTGTTCAACATTCGAACATGATATCAGACAGCCTGGTCTCTACTGTCTATTGTTGTTGAGTTATCAAGTGATCCTTCCTACTTCATCCCTCACCCATATGAAAACCGCATTGAACATCATAACCCCACAGAAGAATAGTTAAAGGAACTAACAATTATCGATAGAAATGTGGTTCATTGACAATCGGTCGCACAGTATCAAACGACAGGCCAGCAGCCCATTTTCCAAAGTAGCCTCGAGCCTTCGTGCTCCCAAGAGCAGCTGGGATAGCATCGAAGTGCATGTCGAGTGCATTAGCTGGCCCCATAACCGTTACGTTCTTGAAGTGCTCAATATGATGTGCCTGACATACATACCACCACACTTCACCTGTACACATACCACAGTTTTACCTCAATACTGCACAAGTTGCATTCCTTCACAAATTCCTCGATTTCGAATTTTATCCAAGGTCGATCCGGATCCTTCGTTTGCCTCGGTGTCGAATGTACTTCAATGATAATACTCTTATCCATAGCCTTCAGTTCTTCACGTGTGATGGGGAAGATTTCATCAGCTCTATTGAGGCCAGGATCGATGAATGTTAACCTTTAATGTGAATTCAGTGGAAAATGCCTTTACTCTTTGGAGTTACCTTCTTATAGGTAGCCCAGCAAAGCCGCTCTTCATGAGCGACGCCAGCACAATGCAGCCCTTACTGAAACTGTACAGGCTGATGCCCTTTGACGCATCTAACTTATCCTCGAGAACATTGCTCAAGAGCTGCTTCAAGTGAGCTGCCCCATCGGGAGCTATTTCCGGATACTCCCGCATGTCCTTCCAACGTGGAGAACCGTGAGCATCTACTAGAGTGAAATTTGAATAGATGGCGTAAACAGAGTCGGTCAGTAAGTGCGGCCGAATTAGAATCTGACAAAACTGCATAGTCAGCGAAGCGATAGCGGCTCGACTGATCTCACCAAATCAACGTCCTGTGGCACGAGACTGCTGATGACCCATGCAACACCGTCCATGCTGTAGCGATAGTCGTTACGTACATCTCCACTCGGTCGAGACTTGAAGCCGCCAGCGAATGTCGATATGTCACCGAGGAACCACACTTGGACCCTCTTCCCCAAGCCTTTCCGATGATATACGTAATTGGTGCGACCCGCGAGGCCTTCGACAGCTCTCACACTGAACGACAGTGTCATAAGAAGAACTAATAACAACAACGATGGCGAAGAAGAAGAAGAAGAAGTTCAACGCTCTACACATAATTGGTAACGAATAACGCAGAACAAACCTCAAGACGGTAGACTACCACAACAACGGGAAAGTCTCAGAAACAGCATATAAACACATCAGTCGGAATAGCAGGTTGACCATCACAGCATCTGACTCAATGCTTCCGATGGCAAACGGATGGTCATCTTGTCCATCTCGGGAATGACAGTAACTTGGCACCCGAGTCGGCTCGTGTCGGTTACTTCTGCTGCCAAGTCGAGCATGTCCAGTTCCTCCTACGCACAAAAGAGCACTCTCCTACGCAGTTATAAAACTAGCAGAGCGCAACTCGCCGCAACTGAGGGTTACACAATACAGCCTACCTCATCCGGCTCGGGTATTAATTTAAAGACGTCCTCTGGGAGGATCATGTGACACGTGGCACAAGCGCACTGAAATCGAGTCACCCTAAATTCTCGTAGTTCACCTGCCCATCACACCGACCTGACCACCGCAAGCAGCTTCAATGTCGATATCGTTAGCATGGGCCACCTCCAGGAGGGACTGAACAACCACGCCGATTCAACTCCGTAATTGAGTAAGCCAAAGAGTGTCACCTGTCCCACTGGGGCGCTCACGGTCTTCACAGCATTGCCTTCACTATCGACGAAATTGAGTAACACGTGATTGTTGCTGGAGAAGTACCGTAGCCCTGGCACTCCACGAACAGCACTGAGTACCACTGGTAGTTTGAAGCGGAGATGAGATGATAGCATTCGGGAAGAATACGTGCACTGCCACTACAACGGCAATGAGCCCGATCGAGATGCGCCATAGCTCAACACAGGCCTCTTTTCTAGTAGAAATCACTTGGTCTTTGCCTTGTCAGTTGTGCTAGGTTGCGAGGGAATGAACAACCAACGTGGCCTTTGCTGGATGAACACACACCACCACATCAGTATTGCCGCTACCAACGCCGCTACTAGTGCTGGTATGAGTCGTAACTGAGAACTCAGGAGTAAGTACTAGGTGAAAATCACTCTTTCCTAAATGTCCATGAAACGATTACGAGAATCATCTAGTCCTCTTCATAGAGTATCCACTGTCCGATCGGCTATCGATTTCGCCAATTTCAGAGGGAAACTATCCTTGTTGGAAGAGAAATCGAAAATTTCATGATGTGCTTAATAAAATAGCACGCTCCTTAATCGACTCGATTGAAAATAGGATAACTTCTCAAATACGATGCACTACTATAACACCAACAACCGACCTGGCTCTCCGGAAGGACACAAAACGCAAGGGGTTCCATGATGATGTTGAACGCCACAGGCTCTCCCATCTTGCCGGGAATATAGGATGCTGATCTCGGCCGAGTCCGGAGTTGGAGGATGTACCGTCTGACAGAACACACGAACGTTCGGAAATTTTGACGGAAAAACGAAATTTTCCGATTTTCGTAATCACAACATTCATCTCACCGCAGGATCGGATCCGGCTCCCCAGCTCCAATGATTGCACCGTTGCCGTCAGTCTTGAAAACTATCTTAAAATCGTCAACTTCTATTACGGGGTCCCGCCCCTCAGTAGCCGAGAGCACGAATAGGGTACTCATAGGAGCCTGGCCTGGCATGGAGGTCTGAGAGTAAAACATGGCGCACAGCACAGTGGTTATCATCACAGCAGCGAATAATAATAAATCATGCGTCCCCTGTCACCCTAATTTCATATCCTCTGTTAGACTCAAGACTCCCCGCGTCTATGATGTAGTTGATAACATCACCAGGCACAGCCTTCTCAAAGGTAAACAGGTGTCCAGGGATCAACGTCTTCCCAGTAACTTCATTCACAGAGGCCCTCACCGCCTCGCACAGTGCTAAACAGCGAGCCGCCAACAGCAGTGCCGCCAAGTAGAAACCCATAATGTTAAGTAATGATAACTGCGGTCGAGAATGAGCACCAAACATTACAATACGACCACGACGTTACACTCCCATTCAACGTGCTCTGTAGTGGTCCGCGATGGTCGAACCACACCTTCACGACGATACATTGCCTCTAGTCCCTCCATCTCTAGTTGCGACCTATGATCGGCCCTATGTCACTTTCAACCTCCATTGGAGAAGTCTGATGATCAACATTGAACACATCTATCGACCAATCGCAGCGACATGAAGGTGAAGTACAACTCAGCCTCCTTCAGCACCTTCGACAACCGCCTTTCGTTGACTTCAAATGATATACTTTCAAACACAAAAACAAGTCAGATTAAGAATCATAGGTTTGCCGAGATAAACGCAGAGCATCTACACGCCTCCGTAGAATGCAAACATTCACCACAACAGCCACAGTTCACTAATGAATAGCACCACTAGTTTCACCTGGTCTATCGCAATCCTCAAAAGGGATCACTGGTCTCAGACGGAGAGTGTCGTGATGATAGACCTCTGCTGAGCAATTAAGAGATCATCCGTACTGGCCTTGGGACCCTGCCACGTCTAGCGGAGCGAAGCCAGCCATGTTATACATATACCAATCGTCAAACCCCCGAGGCCCTCCAACTTCCGTACCACCGTATGGTTGCAAGAGAAGCATATCTTCGCCGTCTCGGTCCTTCCACATCTTCATCGCATACCCATGAACCCCCGGTCACTTCTCTGAGGCCCACCCGTCCGCCTCTCCATCACATAGGTATCCACCCTCACTGTCTTAGTCACCATCGTTATCCCTAGCACATACCTCTGCTTTTAAAATAGTCCTCTAAGAAGGCGGAGCGAAGCCATTCCTATGCTTACTTCGAGTCTCTCCTTACCTATCTCCTTCAGCATAGAAACCATCACTGACGAATTACTCAGCGTGGGAACTCTCCACCATCTAGACCTCAACCTAGTACACTCCGTTGAGTACCCGAGTGATTGGTATTGGTATTCCTCCAGTTCGCATCTCTATTCTCGCGTCACACTGCTGCCACCATTTCCTTCTATAACTTCCAACAAGTAGAGTGAAACCACGACAGCCACCACCACTGTTCCACCGACCGACAACCAACACAATAGACTCAACAGCCTAGCGAAGCGAAGCTAACAGTAACTAGTAATGTACTTCAGCGTAACCATTTAAAGGCAGATTGAATACAGCTTCTGAGGCCGGGCCCTTCTCGCGGTCTTTCCACCGGTCTACGCCCTGCAGCTTCACCCGAACGAGCATTTCCCCTACATACTCATTATCGTGCATTAGTGGTATCCATCTGAACCCCAATGATATCGTACCATATCAAATACCTAGGATATTACCCCCGAACTACGCCGTATTTCCGAATCACTTTCATGCTAAGGTGACACGCAGCAACATTCTTATCCGACCGAAAAGTCCTCTGGCGAATGAGCGTGATGTGTACCTACCAAAACTCGACCGCGTTGGACCCGATGGAATTTCACAAAAGCTCTGTTCCAAAAGTCGGTATTGTTCTCCTGTTGGTCCCCCTTGAGAAAGAAGCCTGCCTCCCTATTAAACTCCTTATCATCGTTACCATCTGAGCCAAGACAAAGCACCATGCCCTAAGATCCAATTCCCCATCATTACCAACCCACGCCGTCCTCTTAGACTCTTGACCATCCAGCTGTACCTCTACTGCATGAACACCTATATCCTTTAGATGCTTCACACGTATTATGGACACTCGCAGCTCCGGCTTAACCCAGCCCTTGGCAGCAGCCGTGTTGGGCATAGTGCTGATACAACAACAGTAATGTGCTGATCTTCGTGGCTTGACATGTATCATAAAACTCAAATTCCCACAGTTGTGTGAAGATCTCAATAGTATTAATTAGTGATGGCTGATTAGCAGCCACTCCATCATCATCATGGGCGTGCGGTACGATAGATACTTGGGCGATCTGAGGACAGTAATAATATAGACATCCAACTACTCATAGACTCGTCATCATTATCATCACCTTCTGCATGCCGTAAAAACTCAAAAAACGCCAATTTCCTACAACGATTACAACAACTATGACAAGATAAAAGCAGTGGAGGTAATGTCGAGACACATCCCGCAGTTTGACCACATAAAAACGACATAACCCCTTTCGTGGTTATTTGAAACAACCCATTGAGAAGTGGCCTATACCACTCCAAGACCAAAATGTTATCAATCACACTTGAAGACCACCCCGAGCCGCACTTCCAACACAACGGAATCAGACCATCACAAATGTGTCGATGGAAACTTCACCAACGTGCAGCAGCATCATCATCTAACATGGTGTCAAGACACAGTGGCAGCGCCCAGCCTCTACTAATCATGCACATACAGCTTCCATCATCGTCGTTATCATATTACCTACACTAATCCCAATCACGACACACGACCGATGATGCTACTGGCATTACGTGTCGAGGGATGTGCGCCGCCGATCGTCGTCGTCGTCGTCGTCACA